CCGTTTCTTACGCTTCTTTAACCGATTTCACGTGTTTTTTCGCAAGGAATCCAAATCTACCACTTATTTTAACTTTCCTCCATTAAAACTCAAAAAGCCATGGACATCAAGAATCATCACGAAATTTCGACTCTCACGAAAACTTAAAACGAAGTCACTAATCTCTTCCTCTCACTTCCTACATCAATAATATCCTATTCTTTTTCATTTTCATCCATTATACAAAGAGATATTCGAACTACAACTTGGGATGCCATGGTAAAAATTATCATAAAACTCCACCAAACCAATTCTAAATCCATCTAGAGTTCAATACTAACTTAACCGCATGTCCAAACTAACTTAATTATGCTTAAACTAAGAGAAAATTTGAGAAACAAGAACCTTATCGGAAGCTTCGAATTTGGTGTTCTTGAGGGCGAATTCTTCCTCCAAAAGGTGCAGATTTCTTCAATGGATGATGATGAACAAGTCTAGATGCTTGATTGATCTTGAAATCGCTCCAAACTCCAAACTCGAAAATTCACTTTCAAGCTTCTTCCACAAATTGCTCTAACTGCTTCTCAGCTGAAAATGGCACTAGAAACTTCTGAAAATGACCCACAATCAATTTATATTCTGTTTGAAACCTTTGGAGGCCCATTCATGGCCCAATCTGTGATTTCCAACTTTCAAGTTTTTCTCAAAAATTCAATTATGGTGTGCACGAATTTGCTTAGTTCTTGCTCTCAATTCACTTCAATTCACTTGCTTGATAGTTATGGAGTGTAAATGAATGAGTTCCCTCCTTTGATTTCAACCAAAGATGTGTGTTTGAAGTGTTACTTTATCATGAAGTAATCCACCAAATGACCATGAAATGAGTATCAACTCAAAAATGTAATAATACCAAAGTGTTTAGAATATCATTTCCAATCAAAATGAGCACCAATTTGGTTTGAAATCATTCAATTATCAATTGTTTTGAATTTTTCCATTTTAATTCATTAAAATGACCTTTTTGAGAAATTCCTTCAACCAATGCTTGCTCTAATCCATATCAATGGTTGCTTGGCTTATGGTTGGACTAAGAATATCATTTTGAGCAACTTTCCAGTTGAACAAAACTCCATTTGAAGCTTGCAAGATAGTGAAATGGACCCATAGTTCAAAATGACCTATAATGTCCAAATACCCAAAATACCCTTGGCTTGTCAAAACCATAACTTGAGTTCTACAAATCCAATCCTGGACTTCTAGTACTTTCTAGAAATCTAAGAGAATAAGGAACAACATTCATGTTGACCAAAAGTTCATAAGAATCATCCTTCTAGGGAAAAAGTGTCATGCAAGTTAGGTAACTTTCAAGCTCCAAATTAACATGTCTTAGATGACTTGTAACTTGTCTGACTCATAACTTGAGTTCTATAAACCTTATCAAGGAATTCTAGTACTCAAATTAAAGCTAAGATCATGATCTACAACAATCATGTTGGGGTCAAGATGATATGAACACCATATCTTGAGTTAAACGGTCTTGAAGTCAGGGGTCAAGCTAGGGGATTTTACACTGTCAAGCCTTAGAAACCCTAGCCTAAAACTTCTCAAACTCTTCAATCCTGATGAGTTAACCTTGGAATCATCCTTAGAACATCTCAATGTATCAATCCATAGTCACATGGCTCTTGAATTAGGCCTCAACCTTCTTCAAGTCATCAGTTATCTTAGGGTTGCCTAGATGAAACCCTAGTTGCACCGATCTTGGGTATATCTTCATATCCTCCTCATAATGACCTGTCTAGGCCTCAAAATGAACTTCAACACTTCTCATGATCTCTCTAGAGACCTCAAGTCCAACTTTATGGCTTCAACATCATCAGATGACTTCCCACAACTCTCAAGTTAGGAGACATACACTCTTGGTTTCAACCACTCTCTCTGAGGCTCTTTTAACTTCTCTGACAAGGATATCAACCCTTGAACATATAAATAACCTTTTTAACTAGATCTATAGTCTTGTGTAGCTCTTGATTGGTAATCCTACCTCTTGATCTCCTGCACACACGTCAATGAAATGCAAATGATAATGCTAATGTGAATGAAATGAAACATAAGCTAGGTAAAGAAATGTTGGCCAAATTTTGGGGTGCAACACAATCAACTAGATTGGGCCAATGATTTTTATTTTTCTTCTTTTCCATTTTCACCTACCCTGTCTCCCTTCTTCCATCAACCTCATTATCTCTTTCCTTGTAGATTTACAACCTTCATAGCACGAAGGCTTCATGACTAAGAAAATTAACAAAACAATAAATTTTGTTTTAAAACATTGACGTTCATTGTCCATCAAACCACACTGAGACGTGATTTATTCTTCAAAGGAATACAATTTCATTTTTAATAATACCATTTAAAACTCCATAATTGTATAATAAAAAATAAAATTGAGTAAATAATTCTTTAGATATAATTTGTTTTTTCTTTTTGGTTATTATGTTTTTTTATCCAATCATAATCACTGACAATTTTCGGTCGAATTCAATGTGCTAGCTGGTGTATCCATTCTTAAATTCTTGCGGTAGTAAAAAATATGCAATTTTAATATAAGAGATAACATAAGATATAAAGAGTTAAAAGAGACGCATTTTAGTGACAACAGGAGGGATGCCATGTCGATACGTCGTAATTTTTATCACCACTATTGATGATATCCAATAATTATTACTTATGTTCCATCGCAAATCACTTATTTGCCAATCACCTTAAGTACCACCATTATTATTAGGTTAAATTAGTCCTTCATGTTTTTTTAATATCAAATTGATCATTTACATATATAGTCAGTTATAAGTCTTTTCATGAAACATTATTAGAAAAAACACAACATTTCATGACACGCCACTCTATCTTCATGCATATCACTTGATATTATTGCTCATGGATCTGATTATTCAAATTTGAAACATTATTACAATAAAAGATAATTGATTATGCGAATTAGAGTTATGGCTGCAAGAAATTAGAGTTGAAAATTTAAATTTGAGACAAAATCAGAGTGAATAATAATGAGAATAACGAAGTTATAAACATTAGACACACAAAACACATTATTTCATGACATCTCACATGTTCAGCGACACATAAGTTTTTTTTGTAATAATATTTTTATTAAAAGTTTAAATGGTTTTTTGGTGCTTGTAAATTGTCGTCTTTTTTAATTTCGTTTATATATATATATATATATATATATATATATATATATATATATATATATATATATATATATATATATATATATATATATATATATATATATATATTGAAAATAATCCTCAAATGTTAAAATCCTTTTGATTTTAGTCCTTAAAGTTAAATTCCGCAAGAAACATGTGTATTTTAATTTTTGGGACTAAAATCAATAAAATTCAACATTTAATGACTTTATAAAAAAAGATATAGAAAAAAAACACACTAACTTGCAAGAACTAAAAGACTAATTAAGCCTTTATTAAATGATTAATTTTGTAAATCATTACATACACAAAATGACTAATTTAACATTAAAAAATATAAATGAGTCATATGTTATAAGCATGCAATTTTTTTTTGGCAATAAAGAAGGTTTAAGCCTAATAGAGAAAAAACTTATAATCGAATATTTAATCAATAAAAAGTAAATGACAAGATAAGTTGATGTTTGCTCATAAATAACAAACTCATAGCCATTAGTACATCTTATTGATGCTAAAGCACTAGTACATGAACTAGCTTAAGGATACTTGTGACAATTTTTCATTTTTTGATCAAGTTCTAACAATTGACGAACTTGGTGAATAATCATATTTTCAAAAGGACTCCCATGAACTTGACAACATAATGCCCACACCAATACGTTGGGATCCAAACAAAGTTATACTTCTTGAGAATTATACCTTAGATATCTTCAAGCTTCCAACACACCTCATAACTATGCAACATACGTGTTATAAGCCAATAAATTTCGAGAAGCCGTATATCCACTTAACCCCATTTCTTTACAATAAGCTTCCACAACATTTCTTTATAATAAGCTTCCACAACATGCTCTCACCTTTCCCTGTCTTGCATAATTTGAGTTAATTTTAATATATCACGTTAGAGGCGATTTCCACCCAATATGCATTTTTTGATAATTCTTTTAGTACAAAACAAGTCATAATTGGAGGTGTGCCTGTATTTTCTTGCTCACTAGTGGACCTCAATCCACGACTGACTCGATATCTCAAAATTGTCACAACGATTATCAAAATTCATCCGTCGACAAAGAAGATGACAAACTATAACCCACAAATAAGGTTAATCTTTAAATACTCATATTGTCAAAATATAAATTAACCTGAATCCCGTAATTTAATTATGCGTTAAAATTTTGATTTGCTAACTCCTCCCCATCCACCTAATTCAGATTATCAGTGTCAAAATACAAAGTAGTCTCACACTTATTCCACAGTATTTTCAAAACACCTCTCCAATTTATAATTGATCATGTCTCTTAAAAAGTACATTATTCTTTAAAAAAACTTCTCAACGTCAAATATTATCAAAATTATTAATAGTTGGTCATTCTCTAAACCAAATCATAACTTAGGGTATGTTTGAATTCACATATCAAAACTTAGGTTATATTATAATAATTTTTTATTTTTTTTGTACAAAGAATAATAATAATAGTATGTCTTTGACAATACTATAATATTATTATTACTACCACAAATAATAGTATGAATTTTTTTATCTTACTTTTATTTTTAATTTTATTTTTAGAGTTATGCATCAATGAGAGAAACCCCCTAACAATGCTTAAACCCTAATGCGCCTGCCTCTTTTCTGCTTCGTCGTCGTCCTCCTTCCAACGAACACGAGTTTGTTTGCAAAAGCCCCACCGGAAGCAATAGCCCTGTCACAATCATCTTCATAGTATTCCGTTTTCCTTCATTCACCAAGCTACCGAAACCTTTTCCGGACTCTCTCTCAGCAGCAACATGGCTCTCACTACCGAGGTATTACCCATAAACTCTCTCACCACACTCAACCTCTCTTCCCCTTCGCCTTTCACCGTTTATCATGGCTTTGCAGGGCGCAACAAACTCCGTGGAGGCCGTGGCTTTCAGTTTTCTGACGGACAAAGAGATACTCAAGAGTAGTCGCGTTAAAGTTACCGATGCCATTCTGGTTGATAATCTCGGTCGTCCCGTAGATGGTGGATTGTATGATCCCGCTTTCGGTCCTTTTGCGGATAGGTTTCCGTATGTATCTCAATTCAATTCCACCTTTTTTTCTACTACTTTTCATTTTTTATTAGGTTTTTGCTTACTTGTTATTCCTATTATGTTGATTGTTGGTGTTATACTTATATCTTATGGACAATGGAATACACTAGAGATTTGATTTTTGACTTAGCTTTGTGGAGATGGGATTTGGCGGAGGTCTGAAGTGAATCATTGTTTTCTAATAACTGACAATGTTTATTTGGTGTTGTATTGTATATATACTTTGTAAGTTCTGTTTACATTAAATTATGCTGTATTCACCTTTTGCTTGTTGATGCAGTTGTAAAACCTGTGGTCTGCCCAAAGATCACTGCTCAGGTCATTTTGGTCATATTGAGCTCGTTGCCCCTGTCTACAATCCTCTGATGTTCACTTTTCTTAGCAATATTTTAAAGAAAACATGTTTCTCTTGCCATCATTTTAAAGCTAGTAGAAAAGAGGTAAATATACATTGATGCGGAAATTTTGCATGTAGCTTTTTAAATTATTTATTTATTTATAAATGTATTCCTTGACTGTTGCTCCTTTGGTCTCATGATGATTCAAGGTGGAAAGTCGTGTGTCCCAATTGAAGTTAATTATGGAAGGGAAAATAAGCAAGGCCAAAAGTTTGGATGAAAATAAATTAGATGGACCTCTAGATTCAGGCGATTCTGATGATGATAAAGACCAATGTAGTAGACCCGAGCAACCGCTAGAAAATTGGACATCTATTCAATTTTCCGAGGCAATGGCTGTACTAAGAACATTTCTACAAAAGGATTATACGAAGTGTCTAAATTGTGGAAACATCAGTCCTAAAATTACTAAACCAATCTTTGGATGGTTTCACGTGGTAACATATTTGTTTCTCTCCTTGGTTGATTCTATTTCAGAAATTATAATTTATTAACGAATCTTAGGGGTATTTTCTAGTTTTTGCCAGGTTATATGGCATGCTTTCAACACCTTACATTCTTTTATGGCACTGCCAATTTTTGACGGCACTGCCTTTGCTTCATTACATTCTCAACATTCTGTTCGAATGGGCTGATACACGTCTTTAGTGTTTCTATTATTTGTTTTCTCTCTTTTCCTTGTATGATTTTGTTTCAACAAGGTGTTTGTTTCTTAATTTCTCATCCTCAATAGTCAATAAATTGGGGCCATACTTTGATTCTCCTGTGGTTACAGTAGTATTTGAATTATATGGCAAACATAACATACACACAACGATCCTTCTTTTAATTAAATGGTCTCACTGTTTGATTCTTTGATGTGTGTGCTTTACCAAACCCAGGAATGGTCATATTTTAATCTCTATCTATACACACACACAAATGACGCCAATGACGCAAATTCTTTAATTTTATTGTTGATACTGCATTTTCGTAGAATGTGTACATGCTTTCTACCACAAGTTGCAATGTTGTGTCCATAGATTCAAATTGTGTAGGTATTTCTTGGTACAATTTCTAATTTTTTTCCCTTCTTTTTCATGCTACTTCTCCATATTTGTTAACTGGTTGATGGTTCTAGAAAGCGCTCACACTTTCTCAAGCCAGAGCAAATGTTATTACAGGCAGCGATGCATCCTTGGCAAGTGAAACAATTAATGATGATATATCTTTAGGAAATGTGGATAATGAAAGCCGTATATTGTCTACTAAGCTTATTGAGCAAACTTCACTTTCTGGGTCTTTGCTACCCTCCCTGGTTAGTTTCTTGGAAATATTGGCTTACTGCATATATAATAACTTCGTTGTGTTTCAAGTTGAAGTGTATAGGACATATCACTTAATTCTCTATTCAAATTATAGGTTAGGGGAATTCTAGAGCTTTTGTGGAAAAATGAAGCTATGCTGTGCTCGTATATCAGTGACATTCAAAATCAAGGTTTTGGAAAGAAAGCTGGTCACTCCATGTTCTTTTTGGAAAACATTTTTGTTGCCCCAATCAAATTCCGCCCCCCATTGAAAACAGGTGATAACGTAAGTATGGCTGAAAGAAACTGTTGCCAAGAATTTATAAATTTCTTTTAGTGTTTTGACAGCATGTAATACTGTGAGAATGTACTTCATGAGGCAAGCTTTTTGCTCAACTTGTTGAACAAGGAAAGGAAATGCATGAAGATGATCTCTATCTTTATAAAGACGAAGTTTTATTTGTATTTTCGTAGCTATAATTATAGTTATTAAATTATTATTTTATTGGTTTTTCTTTTGCATTTTTTTCTCCAACTAATGAAAATGTGCTATATTCTGTTAGAACTGTTACACAATATGGATTATTGGTGTGAACAAGGAATGGGAATGCATGAAGATGATCTCTATCTTTATAAAGACAGTTTTATTTGTATTTTCATAGCTATAATTATAGTTATTAAATTATTATTTTATTGGTTTTTCTTTTGCATTTTTTTCTCCAACTAATGAAAATGTGCTATATTCTGTTAGAACTGTTACACAATATGGATTATTGGTGTGAATGTATTCAATTGGACCCTGTAAAAAGTATTGTGGTCTGTTGGCATTTCACAGTTTTAGTTTATGTTGTAGTTGGTGCCCATGACTTGTATTATGAATTACAGTACAAATTAGATATGACAAATTTAGAGCAATTTAGAGCTTCATTAGGGAATTTCATTATTCTGTATTCCCTCTGCTTATTTAGTATATCACATCTTATCAATCTTGTAGGCCATCTCTTTTTCTTTTCTAAATTGATCTTTCCACGTTACTACAGAGTTACTCGGGAGGACTACTGGAGTTGGTTGACCTTGGAAAAATATATGTTATGCATGATGTTTATGTTTTATTGTTAACATGTGAGATGTTTGTTGACACATTTAGTCTTATGGATGCGTGATAGGGGCTTGGGTATTATGGGGTGCACAAGTTCGATAATGTACAGTCCAACGTTGCAATTAAGGCAGCTAGGGGAGCTATATGATGGATTTGTAGACCACAATTATGATAACTTTATTTTTATGGCATAATTAATGGACTGATGACTGATCCATGGTGGACCATATGATGGATTTGTACACCTTATAATTTCTCCATATTCCCTCATACATGTGCTTAATTACTTGTTCCTTGTCTTTTGTAGGTGGCAGATCATCCTCAAACTGTTATGTTGAGTAAGGTTTTAGACTCCAACATATCCTTGGGACAAGCGCATCACAACAAGTTAGATGCATCAGTCATTCTAAGGCGGTGGATGGAGCTTCAACGATCTGTAAATCTCTTATTTGACAACAAATCTGCTTCCAAAAGTGAGAGTTTCATTTGGTATCATTTTGTTTAATTTATTTTGGAATAGTAATGTGGAGCTTGGTGTATTTCTGTTGGCTTGTAATTTTGCCGATAGTAAAAAAAAGCCTAATTAGCCTAATTCAATTAGTAAAAGAGCAAATACACCCAATGAAAGTATACATGATTTTATACTAGATGTTTGCAAAGGGATCTCTCCCTTGATAAAAGATGAAATGTTATAATGTAGGAGGAAAAAAATTACAAAAAGAAAACTGTAAAGTAATAGTAATAAAAACCAGAAGTCAATAACATTTTTAAAAACAAAATTTCAATTCCATAAGATGAGCCTGTGGATCAATATATAAGCATGTTATTTTGTAGCTATTTCCAATTTCTTGCTAATAGTTCTTACCTACGTAGAATTATCATTACTTTTTGCCTGCCCCAGGCCAAAAAGCCGTGACTACTGGGATATGTCAGTTGCTGGAAAAGAAGGAGGGCATCTTTCGCCAGAAGATGATGGGAAAGAGGGTTAATTTTGCATGCCGTTCTGTCATATCACCAGATCCTTATTTAGCAGTCAATGAAATTGGGATTCCTCCATATTTTGCTCTAAGGTTAACATATCCTGAGGTGAGTGTTGTACCTACATATTTTGTCAATATGCATTTCTTTTACTTTTTCTGTCTATTATGTTGTTAATATTAGATAGCTGGGAAGGTGGTAGAGCACATAACACAATAGTCCCGTGTGAAAAAGTTTTACACTGACAGTACGCGCATATTAAATTATATATGTAATTTAATTTGTATGCGCTTCTGTGTAAATTTTTTTTATCCATACTACTCGGTGTGGGATTTGAGCACCCCATATATAAATCTCAACGGTGCACCCTCCCTCATATGTGGAATACTCATTCTGCCCCGTCCTCCTTCCTAGTCAGGACCTGTTCTCATGCGAACAATGATGTTATCTTTGTTACTCATGTGCTCAGCACTTGCAGAGACACGGTAAACACCATTTGAAGACTAGGAAACTCCAAGTTGTGGCAGGAGTTGGCGAGCTCCTGCAATAAGGTCCTTTTTGAAGCCTCAATTGGGTGATTTTAGCGCAATACGCGACCATAAACAGAGCACCTGATTTTCGCCGCACAGCTGCAACAAGTGTCTAAGCAAGGTCTTGAAACCACAATTCACTATAAATGTGGCGCTGTAGCACCTCTTTTATGAATTTTCGGGTGTTTATTCAATTTAGCAATCTGCATATGGTACTCATCTCAAAATTCACAATCACCATTGATCTAACAGAAGCAAACATCTTGGTATTGTGCCTTGTGATAATACTAGTTTTAGTATTGCTTAGCTGTCTTTATCGGTTTGTATAGTGTGCCTTACTAGATACAAGAATTAGTTATAAGAGCTGAGTCATCAACAGCTTGTGTAGCATGCATTACAAGGCTCACAAGTTAGTTACAGGAGCTGCTGGTACATCAACCTAAACTAAATGTAAATGCCTATGAGAGTTTGTTATCAGTTGGTGTAGGTTAGTACCACTGTAAATGCAGGACAGTAATCATAGTCATTCTCTTGTAATTTGATCTTCAAGATCAATAAATAATTCATATTCAAAAGTATAGAAAAATTATCTTCACCTTTTCTCTCATTTTTCCACTCTAATATGGTAATATGCCTTTGATTACGTTTTGACTGCTTATATTATATAAGTCTGATAGTCTTAGACAAACCATCTTTTACCTTGGTACATTCTTATAAGTTAAAGAAGAAAAAAAGATAATTAAATAAAAGCATCCTTGTTCATCTGTTTAATAATTTGCACTCTGCAGCCAAATTTTGGCCTCATTATTCTTCCTGAGCATCAGAAACATAGATTGAGATATTACTCTATAGTGAAGTGAAAACAATGTGTAATGTAGTAAAATATGTTGACGAATCAATCATAATGCTTGCTGGCGTTTTGCATTAGTATAATTATGTATTGGACTTTACATGGAACAAAGTTTTATTAGGTTTTCTATAACACATCAAGAGATCGCTTTGTATGATATTTTGTTTCCTGGCATTGACTTTTTTTAATATATTGCAGAGAGTGACTCCTTGGAATGTAGTCAAGTTAAGGGAAGCTGTCCTAAATGGTCCTGAAACCCATCCAGGTGCCACACTCTATGCTGATAAAACATCAACACTCAGGCTTCCACTAGACAGGAGGTTACGTTCTTTTACATCAAGGAAATTACAATCGTCAAGAGGGGTTATTATGCATAATGGGAAGATACGTGACCATGAATTTGAAGGAAAAGTTGTGTATCGTCACTTGAAGGATGGCGATGTAGTGCTTGTCAATCGACAGGTAATGCATTATTTCATTTGATGCATAATCAATATAGCACACCCTTATATTCCTTTGAGGATGTATTTCTTTTTTCTTTAAAAAGAACATGGAATGATGAAAATTCTGTATATGACAATATAATGCTGGAACTATGCTGATTGATTGTTCACATCATTGTAGTTGAAATTCCGATTTAAATCGTAAAATCGCATGATTTTGTGATTATGCTTTCCCTCAACGATCAAGAGTATACACATAATCCTATTTTGGTGGAGTTGCCCTTGTAAATCTTCGAATCATATAATCTACAATCTTTGAAACATTTCTATGCTTATGAATGAATTTAAATTTATATAACTATTTGAAGTGTGATTTAAGGCTTTAGTTATCTTACTTGTGAGTTATGCTTATGAATTTAAATTTACAAAAGTATTTCAAGTAATTTAAGGTTTTCTTTGTCTTACTAATGCTATTATATGCAATTGTGCATATATATGAGTTTAAGAATTTTTTATAATCTTGTAATTAGTGTTAGGTTTTGCAATTTTACTTCCCTTGTGTGATTTTGCACAAAACATCGATTTTTATTACCCTGGTTCATATCCATTGAAAAGTTGATGTAGTCCATGTTCATACACATCCATGTGTGCATGCGTGATCATGACACACAGGTATGTGTATGTGCATTTTAGTTTGAGTTAAAATCTTTGTTTTCTTTAAGTTGGCACAATTATTCTGGTGTCATATCTTGCTAAATATGTGACATTAACAATGCCATTAGTTCCTTATGGTTTGAATTGGACTTTGCATTCTGTTGCAGCCAACACTTCATAAGCCTAGTATAATGGCACATGTAGTCCGTGTTCTAAAGGGGGAGAAAACAGTTCGCATGCATTATGCAAACTGCAGGTAACATTTTATCCTTTTCTTTGAGCTTGGTTATATTGCAATATAAGTATGTTTTATTATTATTATTATTACAATTATTATTATTATTGTTATTATTATTATTATTATTATTATTTTTATTATTTATACAATGACTGTATCCTAACAATTTATTTTCACATACTAATATGATTAATATAATTGTTTAATATGGTTTATGGTTTATAAAGTCAATTACTTTATATTTTTTTGCCTCTCTTCATGATCTCAGTACATACAATGCTGATTTTGACGGTGATGAGATTAATGTTCATTTTCCACAAGATGAAATATCACGAGCTGAAGCTTACAATCTTGTAAATGCCAACAACCAATATGTGAAGCCTACTAGTGGTGATCCAATCAGAGCCTTGATTCAGGTATTTGCATACTTGGTTCAGGTTTTTGCATACATAATTATAAAAGGACTGCCCACTTCATTTGGATCCTGACATCATAGGGGTTTAGAGAGAGAGAGAGCTCCAGGGGCCCAAGAAGTTGTTTTCCGAATTCACAAGTATACCCATGACCAATAAAGCACAAACAAACAAATCTATTAGTCACCTATTTGCATTAATTGTCGGCAAGCTTTATTACATATATCTTTGCATTAATTGTTGGCAAGCTTTATTACATATATCAGAGGTCACCCATGCAGTATGTGGCAAGGGCAAAAATAAATTGACAGAGGGAACACAAACACTAGAGTGTGTGACACTTATGCTGGCAAAAATAGGATTGTGCCACTTGTCTAATATATCAGAGGTCCCCCATGCAGTATGTGGCAAGGGCAAAAATAAATTGACAGAGGGAACACAAACACTAGAGTATATGACACTTAAGCCGGCAAAAATAAGATTGTGCCACTTGTCTAATAAAAAACCTAGTTTTCTTATTATTTAAGTGATTGTTTTGGGTGAGTTTCTGAAGTTCATTTTTTCCATTTCAAATACATTTCCAGGATCATATTGTAAGTGCCGCTCTTCTCACAAAAAAAGATACCTTTTTGAGTTGTGAAGAGTTCAATCAACTTCTCTACAGTTCTGGTGTATCCATGACTGCGTCGGGCTCTCTCACTTGCAAACCTGGGCAGAAAATAGTCATGTCAAACTCCGAGAGTGAAATGTTTCAGTTTCCTCCAGCAATATTCAAGCCAGAGCCACTGTGGACAGGGAAACAGGTTAGTATATATTTTAACATTTCAGATGCTATAAAAGATTACTATCTAAAGCCGTGTTTGTTTCAAGTTTAAGAACCACGTTCTTGGGTAAGTAGCGAGTTTATCAATGTTAGTATAAAGTTTGCAAAAAATTATTCTTATGAAGGTTTCCAGGAATGATAAATTCCAATAATTTCACAGATTCATTTCCAAGTGAGAAGGTGGGAAGTAAATTTCTATGTGGTTTTATATATATTTTATAACTATTAAATTTTCTTGGAATATCAAATTGTATGCCAAACACTTTTAATTTAAATATATCTAGGAATCAAATCCTATCTTTATAATTCTGGGCAAGTTATTCCTAGGAGTAATTTTTGACTCTGAAACAGACTCCCCCTAAATAAACTTGCAGAAGCCTTTTTCGGTGTCATTTTCTCACTTGGGTATTATTTTAAAGTTTATTAAATTCTTGAATCAATATGTGTTAAATCTTCTCACTTAGTTAATCGCGGATCGCAGAAAGTAACGCTTTGTCCTAAATAAGTGTATTATTACTGAACACTAGTGACTTGTTTAGATTTTGCTATGCAACAAGTAAGTGTATTATTACTGAACAATAGTGATTTGTTTAGATTTTGCTATGCTACAGCGCCACTGTGTGACAACAGTTTTTTTCATTTTCCTTCTTGGGCACATGCCGATCCTTGTTTTACATGCCATTATCGTTGTATAAAGTAAATTTTGCTTCTACTTATTTCTAGGTTATCAGTGCATTGCTATGCTATATCACTAAAGGTCGCCCACCATTTACTGTTGAGAAGAATGCAAAAATCCCATCTAGTTTTTTTAAGACTCAAATGAGGGAGGGAAAAAAACGCACTAAAGATACCTCACGAAAAAGGGATGAGAATGAGGATAAATTGTTGATATATAAAAATGATTTGGTGCGCGGTGTAGTTGACAAGGCTCAATTTGGTGACTATGGAATGGTGCATACAGTGCAAGAGTTTTATGGCTCAAATACTGCTGGCATTCTTTTGTCCGCATTAAGTCGGCTATTCACCAACTTTTTACAGGTTTCCCATCATTTCTCTAGTTTTGCAAATATGATATTTTATTGTATATGATTTTATTATCTTGCAAGTTTCTGATTTATTTGGTCATTCAGATGCACGGGTTCACATGTGGGGTTGATGATCTTCTGATAACAGAAGGAAAGGATAGTGAAAGAATAAATCAACTTGAAAGCTGCGAGGAAATTGGTGACATTGTTCATCGTGAATTCATTGGAGTCATGGAAAGTGATAATATTGGTAATGCCCCATTTCCGAATGTGATAACATTTATGCTAATATTTTGGTTGATTACTAGGCTGCCTATCCTGTATAGCGGTGTGGAGCAGCCGACCTCAAACGTGAGATAGCGGGATAGCGTATGGGAGGATGACCACTATTTGGTCATTTATTGGACAAATTACATGAATAATACTATGAACATATATTTCATGTAAAATTGAACAGTTAAATCCATAAAACATTCATAAATCAAAACACAAGGCTTAAAGGAGAGTAGATCAAATGTTAGAGTAGTCAAACAACTAGAGGTTGAGGAAGACATAGAAAAACTATTAAGAGAGACTATTAAGATAGATCCCGAGATTAATGAGTTTGATAAAAACATGTTTATTGATAGAGCATTATGGCTAATTTGATCCATGTAACCGAACCCCTTTATTGGATAAGACTCCCTTTAGTGGATAAGACTTTGTTGTTGCTGTTGTTGTTTTGTTTTGTGGTGTACTTGGCATTTGCTTATTACTTTTTAGATTTTGGTGTAGAACATTAATGTGCGTGGGCATATTTGGTATTTCAGATCCAATCACAATGCAGTTGAATGTTGAGAAAAAAATACGCAGTAATGGAGAAGCAGCCTTAACATACTTAGATAGGAAGATGATAAGTAATCTTAACTCCAGAACTAGCTCAGGAGTATTGAAGGAGCTACTATCTCAAGGAATATTAAAACCTTCAGGAAAAAATTGGATTTCTCTTATGACTACATCTGGAGCTAAGGGAAGTATGGTAAGTAAATTGTTGCATCTAGGTCATTCTATTTATCTTAGATGTTTGTGTATACAACAATATATGTAATGCATATAGCGTGGTCTCCTTTTGAATATTCCAAATGATTGTCTCTTTCTTACAACACCTGTTTGAAGTATTAAAATTTTGTGCCGAGGACCTTAAGTAAAATCCATTATTCCATACTTTATGCTATGGAAAATCCTATTAAAGAGTAGGCAGATGTTATCCAAAATTGTAAAACAGCATCAACTTCTGGGCTTTGACTATCAAGTTTAAACCAATTGACTTTTTAATTGAGCTAATTGTATTTTTAACCGAATACAATAGGTGCATTGAAAATTCAAGGATGTTGGACTTTTTGTGCACTTTCTTTTCTTGTATTGGAACAGTCTGCTAATTTAAGTTTTGTTTGCATCATGTTTTGTTGGATTCTTTTATTAACCAGACATTAATAACTAGTCTGACAATTGTTTTTATAGTTTTTTTGGGATATTATGAACAACTGTTTCGGCGGTGTTTCTTGAACATACTATATATAATGGCATTTAGTGATATGAAGGTGATTTCATATGCTCTTGAACAGGTCAACTTCCAGCAGATATCTTCTCATCTTGGCCAGCAAGAGTTGGAAGGAAAACGAGTCCCACGTATGGTTTCTGGCAAGACCTTACCGTGCTTTCCATCATGGGATTGTTCCCCCAGGGCAGGAGGGTTCATTATTGATCGGTTTCTTACTGCTCTTCGTCCACAGGAATATTACTTTCATTGTATGGCTGGTAGAGAAGGGTAAGACAAAACCTTCAAGATTATGGATCAATATGCTATTATTAATTGTTTATGTATTGTATCTATTTAAAATCTAAAAGACATAATGATCCATAATACTAGAACATTTGCATCTGTTTCAAATACCTTGTTATTGAATGTGGATGGTAGACCATGGCAGAAAGCAAAACATCTGTCAATTAAGCCTCCATATCTGCCATAAAGTGCCATGGTGGCGCTTTTCTTCACAAATTGGTCATGCAGCTGTCAAAAAATCTGCACCACTGTTTTGGAAATACTTATCACTTCAGTTGTTATTTAACTTTAATGGATACGGTTTTCTTGAAATATAAACAGAATGGATCACTTCATCAAATCAAATAGAAATACAAAATGAGTAAATGAGAGAGATTCCAATTTTCTCTATTTAACATCTGAATGGGAAACAGACATGTACTAGTCATATAGCTCAGTTTCATGCAGATGCATGAGATGACCAGAAATACAACCTTCTGCTGTGATAGATTTTGGGTAGAGAATAGTTCTCGTTTTTTGTTGGAAAGCCCAAATTAGATAGCAGGTCTAATCCATTAGTCCTATGCACACCCTTGAATTATGTATCACCCTGGTTAGGGCTGTTCATAATATGTTAAGCTCTTCAACCAGATTTTTGTCCCCAACCATTTAAGAAACATTTAGGTAAAATAAAAAGTACGAGGTACGAGAAAAAACTGCAAAAGAAAAAAAGTTTTTCCATTTCTTTCCAATCATTCTCAAAGGTTTTGAGTTAGGGAAATTCGATGTTGATACTTTAGTGTGTTTGCGGGTTGTTTTGCTCTGATACTGCACCAGATGGCTCCGTTGCTTTGTCAAGTAAATTTTAACATCGAGGGAGACGAAATTAAGGTCGACGGAGATAATTTAGATGGAGGAGTTAAGATTGGTTCCTGTTGAGATATTGTTTTATTATTATTCTGTATCCATTGTTTTTATTAGTAGTATGAATTAGGATATTATTTAGGGTATTATTGTATCAAATCTTTCCTTAATTAGTGGGGTTGATTAGGAGGCTTAGACCTATATATATGTGTATTTTTCTCCGCTAATAATATAAGAAATTCAGATTCAAGTGGTCCTTTACAGCCGGGGAGGGGAGCTAAGCATAGTAGAGAGTGCGGACCTAAAACCTTGGTTCGACCCTTGAAAAAATGCAGGCAAAACAAGCATGCCGTTTGAGCCGGGCCCGTTATGCCACCCGTTGTTTTGGGTAAGTCGATCCATCCAAGGAGCTCCCCCCTAACCCTGGGTCCCTTGGTTACGTTTTCTCAGTCTAGATTGTGCATACAACTGCCACCGTTTACACGAAATCTTTTTTCTTTTTAAAGAGAGCAGACCATTATATTTTGTATTCGTTTTTTAAATATGATAAATATGTTATAGTCACATTAGCTAGTGGATTTTTTCAAATTTTATAGTTTACATTGAATGTGCAGAATAACTGGAGTTTAGGTTCTGTTAGAGCTCAATGGTGTCAATGAACAATGTGATCACCATCTGGGGAGGAGGTTTTGGGATCTGCATTTACCTTTTCACTCCCAAATCTGGATAGTTGAAGCATGGAATGTGTAGGACTAGATATATGTGTGGGGCTTAATGTCATTGTTTGTTTTAGAAGATATAAATATCTTATAGTATTTTGATATTATTATAGAGTTTCTTCTAGCTGTTGGGTTAGGCTTTGATACTATGCCACAAACCAGTTATCCCCCATGCTTAAGTTGCTAGGTGAAAACAGATGAATACTTTTAATAGTATAATTGCAACTATGCAAGTTATCTTGAATTATAATCACCAGTTTATAAACTAAAACGCGACATTACTAGATTACAATACGCCACTCTCCCTTTCTCCCAACCAAATGAATTGCATTCAGTTTCTCTTGTCTTTTCGCTTTTCCTATTGTTGTGCAAGCTCAAAAAGTTTTGTTTGTTGAAATGCGTGGATATTTTTTAAATAGAAGGCTTAATGTATTCTGGTCATCATGTCCTGATAATTGACATCTTTTGTTCACAGGTTAGTTGACACTGCAGTCAAAACATCTAGGAGTGGTTACCTGCAAAGATGTCTTATGAAAAACCTTGAGTGTCTAAAAGTTTGCTATGATCATACTGTCCGTGATGCCGATGGGTCAGTTATTCAGTTTCACTATGGAGAAGATGGTGTGGATGTGCATCAAACTAGCTTTATCACCAAATTAGAAGCACTGTCAATTGTATGAACTTGTTTAATATTTGTAATAAAACCATAAAATTAGATATAACTCTCGCATCCATGGTTCATGCATTTGTTTATTATTTTCAGAATAAAGAATTGGTTTACAGCAGCTGTTGCCGTCAGCTAGATAGATCCAGTCCTTATATTAACAAGTTGCCTGATGCTCTTAAAGGAAAAGCAGAAAACTTCAGTCGTGATTTCTCTTCAAAACAGAGAAATTCCAGTTCATTGAAACAAGATTTCCTACAGTTGATGGAGCACAAGTACGTCTCAAGTCTTGCTCAACCGGGTGAACCAGTTGGTGTGTTAGCTTCTCAGTCTGTGGGAGAACCGGCAACACAGATGACGTAAGTTAATTATATTTGATTGGGGTTTTATCCTCATTTTCTGCACATATAATAACAGCATAAGATGTCTTTTTGTCCAATCTGTTTCATGCAATAACATGGGTAATAAAAATTAAAAATTGTGACACCATTTTCTTATATTCACTGGAAACCTTATAGAGTTATAGCTGCAATAGATAATCACAAAGCTTGAAAAGGGAATTTTATCTTAAGTTTTAATCGAATAGAAACAGATACACTTCACAAAAAGCCTGAACAAATAATTTATGGGAAATAGAGGTCCTTGAAGCAATGAATAGCAGCTGACGATACAGTTAAACAACTTGATCTTAGGTATTTTCACGAGCTCATTAAAGCTTTAAATAGCTGCCCGTGACATTCGCATAAATTTTGTTTATTAAACACAGCTCGATCTAACTAGTGATAGATACCCATGTTTATGTTTCTTCATTTAGTAGAGACTCTGTTCAATTAGGTTTTATCACAAGAATAACGAAGACTCTGTTTACAGTTAGGAGGGGAGGAGACGACAAGGTTTTGGGGGAAGGATATTTAAAAAATAATAGAGAAATCTTTAATATTTATTGAACACAGTTCAAGCCAATTAATGATAAATGAATGTTTATCATTAATGTATTTTTAATTTTCAAAATATTCTAACAACATATATTATAATTGAAGAATTTATCTAAGCCCTCCAAAATCCTTAAAATTTCTCATCCAATACAATTATGAATTCCCCCAAATTATGAGGTTGTATTATGAATAAAATTAAACTCCCAAAAACCCACTCCACCTAAATCCCTAAATTCTTTCACGTCGTACTTCTCTTTTTTTCAAAACCTCCCCCCTCCCTTTCGTCCAAACTCCCAAACAAAGCCTAAATAAATAATTATCTATTCAATAGGAACATTACAATGCCATCTCTTCCCACTCCAATCACCGGGTGTCACTGAATAAATGGTTCTATTTTATATCAACACTTCTTGTTGAGCCTGCTATTGTTTTGTTGTCACTACTTGGTAGGAACAAAAGGACACAAGCTAAACAATGAATTTTAACAGTTGGAAGTGGGGAAATAGTGTTTTTGATGGCCATGAAATTCTCAATAATTGCAAAAAGACCTGTATCTATGTGAAAATTGTGTTTTGTATAGAAGCCAATATTATTAGTAATGCATATCTGTTTGTCTCCCTTTTTTGTTAATTTGTAAAATTTATCAGCGATCTGACAAATCGTCTTGGCTTCCTATTTTCTTTTTGTACTCAGTTTGAATACTTTCCATCTTGCTGGTCGAGGTGAAATGAATGTGACTCTTGGAATTCCTCGTTTGCACGAAATTGTGGTGGCAGCCTCAGATAACATCAAGACTCCCTTTATGTCATGCCCCCTGAGATCCAATAAATCTATGTGAGACACTGACATTTCTGTTCTCTGGAGTCTGTTTTTGGGGTGTTTGTGCATGACTCTTTCTGTGGACTTGTTTTCACTAAGTAGAAGCACAAGGGTTTAATTAATTTGTTGTTTGCAGGGAAAGTGCTATCCGTCTTGCGGACAAAATGAAAAAGATAACTGTAGCTGACATAATTGAAAGTATGAAAGTTTCTGTTGTACCCGTTGCCGTAAAAGATGGTCAGATTTGCAGTATATATAAGCTTATGATGAAACTGCATAAACCTAAACACTATCCAAAATACACTGATATTACGCTTGAAGACTGGGAGGAAACTTTAAGAGTTGGGTTTGTGAGAGCGTTGGAGGATGCGATTGAAAGTCACGTTGTGTTGTGTGATAAAATTAGTGGCATAAAAAATTTCCAAGGCAAAAGGGGTGTAGAAAATGATCATAGCAATGATTCAGAATCTAACAAAAATGGTCAAACTGACGATGACGACGATGTTGATGACACAGAGGATGCTGATGATCTTGGTTATGATGCTCAAAAGAGTAAACAGCAAGGTATGGATGAGGTTGATTACGATGATGGTCCTGAAAATGAAACACGTGAGATGTCGGAGGATGGAAACATTGAAGGCGTTGAAGGTGGCAAAGATGACGAGGATGAGAAAAGTGATGGAGATGACAGTGATTTTGAAGTAAATGGGGACAGTGATACTGAATTAAATGACATTGATAAAAATGTGACACTTGATGCAAATGAATCTCAAGGACTTGAAGAAACATCGAAATCTGATAAGAGTAAATCTGAACCCGTGAGCAAAAAACATGACAGGAGAGTTTATGTGAAATCTGGGGGGATGCGTTTTGAGATCCACTTTAAATTTACTACTGAACCTCACATATTATTGGCTCAGGTACTTACTACTGCAAATCATTTTTCTGTTTAGTAGTGAACTTTTTAAGTTACCCAACTCCAAGATTACAGGGTTGATTGTGGATTTCCATTTTCTACGTCTCTGTCCATTCCTAACTATAGAAATTCTTGCATCTTTATTTACCTATTACTTTCAAACCCCAAGCATGGACAAACCTGTGTGATAACTAACTATTGGCAACTCCAATATCAACAATACCTATTGAGTGAGTTGTTCTCATCTTTAACTTGTTCAACATCACAGTGTGCCTCTCGATCGGCATTGTATATTTAAATGATATGTCATTATGATCTATTAATGACAATGCATTTTACCATTTTATGTTCCATGTAATTGTTTCCTCGTAGTGGACAATGGACTAGTTGCTGTTAGGGTAGGTGAGTTCAACATCCTTTGAGACGTGGTCAAAAACTAGTAACAAGTGATTTCTAATGAAGTTATGTAGTGAAATAAAACTAAACAGTAGTTATATGCCAGTTTTCAGTTTTGCTCCTTGCTCATATAAAACTCACGGTTGTCTATTTATCTTATATATGCAGATTGCCCAGAGAACAGCCGAGAAGGTTTGTATCCAGAACTTTGGAAAGGTTGGCGAATGTAAAGCTATTACATGTAAAGAAAGTGGTGTAATCTACTATGGTGAAGTTGATGGTAAAAGGGATGATATTCCGTCATCAGTGAAAGAAAAAATACCAGCGCTTCAAGCATCTGGTATACATTTTAAAACATTTTGGGAGATGGAAGATGACCTTAATCTTAGGTATGTTTATTCAAATGATGTGCATGCTATACTAAGGACCTACGGGGTGGAAGCAGCCAAAGAAATCATCATCAGGGAAGTGCAAAATGTTTTCAAATCGTATGGGATATCAGTAAATATCCGACACTTGATCCTTATTGCCGACTATATGACACATGCCGGTGGGTATCGACCTCTGACCAGAAAGGGGATAGAAGATTCTACTTCCCCTTTGGTCAAAATGTCTTTTGAGACTGCATCCAACTTCATTGTTGAAGCAGCTCGTCATGGACAGGTGGACACCTTGGAGACTCCATCTTCTAGAATTTGTCTTGGTTTGCCCGTAAAGATGGGAACTGGGTGCCATGACTTGATACAGAAGCTTGAATTATGATAAAGTAGTAATGTTACTCAGCTCTAGATCTTTGGCCATCGACAAGTTTTGACACCATAATGTACAACAAGTGTTTGAAAAAAGTTGTGATTATTTATCTAGTTGAAAAGTAATTTGTTTACAGATAATGTTATATAGTTTTAAATGTAATTTCTCATCCTCATGTTGCCGATAATTACTTTTTTCTCCTGTCTTAATTAATTTTTGTTCTAATGTATAACGGTTTCTCGTATAATACAATGTTTGTCTCTACATTGATTTGTTTTCAGATCACTGATACAATTTTTGACTTTCATTTTACCAATTTTTTTCCATATATATGAAGGTTCTGTTGGTATTTATTAGATGACTAATGGTGTGTTTGCTTTAATACGTCCCTAGGCAAAAAATTAGATTGAGTGAAGGAGAACAATTTTTGCATGCAGTCATTTTGTGAAATCATGGATGGATTCTGAGTTGATGAATATAGAATTGATAAAGCAAACTTGTACTTCTCATTGATCATATTTTCTTTATCAAGACTTTGATAAATTGTTTTTATTAAAACAATTAACCGGAAAAATTTGTCCCTACATAAGATATTAATATTGTTTAAAATTATTAAACCTTATTTATTCTTCAAATATTTATTTTATTAGCACTATTTTGAGTTTATTTTTAGAGAAAGTTTAAGATGAACAGGTTTATAATCAAACTTACTTTAGTATAGTTTTCCACGTTTCATGGCATGGCAACATAAACAAAATATATATGGACGGGAAGTGATTGATATTCTACCGCCAAAATCATTACTTGTTTTAGAGGGTGAATGTATCAAACTTGATCAATCATTAACGAGAAATTTTAATATGGGCGGATTTGTTCAAACTTGATCAATCATTAACTAATAATTCTAATGTGGGTGGATTTGGTCAGGGGATGCAAAAATAGTACTTCAAGATCCATTACGTTCTCAGCCGCAAACGTAAATATGGATGGAGAATTAAATTCTAAACCCATCTCAAATGGATTTGGGTATTCCCGCTCCGCCACCATCTATTTAATAAAATTAATTTTTTAATAGAAATATTTATTTTTTTCAAAATTAAATTACATTATAAATAATAAAATAAAACAATCAAAAAAATTCCATACATATATTTCTAATATTTTAAATAATAAATAAAATTAAAAATATTAAAATATTGACCACATATTTAATATTTTAACTTATCAACAATAAATAATAGTGTACACAATAAAATAAACGGAGCGGACAGTAGTGTCCCCAATTATCCGATTCGCTCTCATATTTATAAACGGAAAAACACAAACTCAAACCTAAACCTAAATTCAATCAAAACGGATTTTTCTGTCAATTTTGGGGCGAGTTTAGTTGGGTACCCACGGGTACATGTTGTGTTGTCATACCTATGGGCAAGTGGGAAATGTCGAGGATGAGGTTATCTCCCTTGTGGGTGATAGTACAATTTTGTCTGCACTTGTAGAGACAGTTTCAATAGAGTTAATGATTTTTAAACTACGTAATGTCTTGCAATACAGGTGACGGAGTTTTAATTTATTTATGTATGAGTTTTAACTCTCCTTTAACTTTAACATAAATGAATATTATTTTGATTTTACGGTAATATAAGTTAGTATCAGTCGGCCTTACAAAAATTAAATTTAAGGACAATGATACTGTTCTGATATGATTAAGGGAAAATTTCAAAGACACTTCTCCGAAATAAAATCTCATTTGTATTTACCGTGTTTTAAAGAAATTTTAGGGGACATTTCATAAATTCGTTTCTAAGTACACAAAATACTCATACGAAGATATTTTAGTTAAAAATGTGATAGATCTCAGAATAATGCATTTTAGTTGTGATTTAAGTGTATTCAAATATGTATCTCCAAATATCTAAAAAAAACAATTTTAAATTTTCAAAATGTGAAAGTCACCACAAAATAAAAAAAAAACATTTTTCATAAATCATTACAATATCAGTATGGTAAAATCAGTTAGATTTTTTGGTCACATGATTATTTTTGTTTATATTAAATTTAGGTTTAAAATAAATTTACCATTAAAAAAGATATAAACAAAGTTAAATAGTTACATCAAAGGTGATTACCAGAGCTAATTATATGCAAGAGCAATTAGACCAATAACACGTGATACTAAAATTTTGAGAGTTAATTGTAAAAACATTTTTACAATATATATTTAAAGATGTTGATTTTTTTCTACCGGTGTAAATTGACATAATTTTTATTTTCATATTTTGTATTCTGTGTTTTTGTCTATTAATAAAAATAGATGAAAAATAAAACTAAATTTCAAAATCATAATCGTCCTAAATTACTTATACAAATGTATTTCTTTTTATTGAATTACAAATGTTTTTTATGCGTTGACAAATTTTTTCGAATAATATAATTTGATGGCGAATTTTTTCTGATGATATCATCCAAAATCTTTTAAACTTGACCCGAATGTTAAAATTTGACAAATTGTAATGATTTCTTGATTTTTATTTGTTTTCAATAGTCATAGGTATGGGAAATCCAGGTGATGTATGAAGGTGTAAAAAATACATAAGAAGGGGGAGGTTGAATTCTGTTTCGCGTTTTCTTATTATTTAGCTCTTGATCAGAGTTTCAAAATCAAAATTGATGTTCAGATTCTGAGTTAATTCTTTTGGCAGTGGATACAATAGAAGTAAATAAAATAAAAGCAGAAGACACAAAAGATTTATATTGGTTCCTCACCTAACTAAGAGTAGTCCAGCCCCTTGCCTCACAAGAGCTTTTCGTTATAACCACTCCATGATTATAATCGCTTATGCTTCTGCATAAGACTTTTACAGCTGTTCAGACCAGCTGTCTGAGATTTTCCTGTGCTTAGAGCACATGTCTAAGACTTACCCTTTTCTCACACCATCTGACTGAGCCGCCTAGTCATCAGTCATCAGTCTGAGACTTCCCTTTACTTAAAGCACATGTCTAAGACTTACCTTTTGCTCACACCATCTGACTGAGCCGCCTGCTCATCTGTCTCCTGGTTGAGACTTCCCTTTGCTGAGCACATGTCTAAGACTTCCTTTGTTCACATCCTCTGGCCGAGCAACCAGCTCTTCTGGCCATCCAAACTAAGAGTTCCCTTGCTCAATAAGACTAGCTGAATAAGACTTTCACAACTCAAGCACTTAAGCAATCAGACTTACGTGACTTAAGCATCTTGACTCAAGACTTGTTGCTTGAATTCCAATGAGATAAGACTTTTTGCTCAAGCACATAGTAGGAGACTTAATCTAAACTATTGAAGGCTCATCACAATAGAGAACAAGGTATACACGATGCAAGCATCAGAGGTACGGGAGATCACCATAACAAAAACCTAAAGCACTTAAGATTTCTAAATATACACAGGGGTAAGAAATCTTAAGGCTTTTACAACTACAACCTAAAACAGAAAATCTGCATATTACATAGAATTGATAATTGCTTGATCTTGTTACTGCTTCAACAGAAGAATCCTTGTTGAAATTCAAGCTTGAATCTTCAACCATATAATTTCCAGATGCTATCCATTTAGAAGGTGACTTGATAAAGTGTCTTTGCTTTTGCTCCATAATACAAGAGACGTTGAAGATGGATGCACAGTAGATTCTGAAACCAGTTGTAACACGTTTAACCTTTGAGTCTTCAATAGGATCTGTACTAATAGAGCCGTTGGGATCAGACATCCATAGAACATACCAACTTTTATTGAGCCTTGCAATCTTGTAGACTCGAGCTGACAGGCTGCTAAGACAATACAACTTGCTTTTAGTAGTACGGATAGTCCACAACTTTATCACCAACTCTGAATGGTACCAAAAACTGATATACAATTACTAAGTGTAGAAACTCGTCTGAATGATGAGGTCTTCAGTTCAGAGTCTTCGTCAAACCACACTAGAAATGGTTCTTCAGACTCTGCCACCAGAAGCTAGCAATGAAGTAACTCTAAGTGTATCTTAATTAAAACAAATTCTGATTATTTATGTACAAGAACAAGAACCTACATAAATAAAACACACATCAAATAAACCATTGTTCTTTTAATACTTTTGTTATCATCAAAACTAAAAGAGGATATGTCAAGAACAAATTTTGTTCTAATAATCTCCCCTTTTTTGATGATGATAAACCCAAGTATTTAAAAGACAATGCTGGGCATTTAATTTTCTCTATAACAACAGGGTATGAGGTTCATAAGCCCCCCTGAGTCTGATAGCTCACAGATAAGTTTAATTTACTTTAGCATTAAGAACTATTTTTTAAGAAAAATAAATTAGTCTTCTTAGTAACATCAGGGTCTGAGGTTTGTAAGCCCTCCTACTAGAAGACGAAGGGCCCTCCTACTAGAAGATCTAGGATCTTTTTGTCTTTTGTTGCTGTTTTATCATGTATCTGTATTGAAGACTTGTATTTCAGTTTCAGATTGTTGTTGTAAAACTCCCAATTATTAATCTATGAAGACTTTGAATTTGCTTTATTTCCCCATTTGTTATAATTTTTGCAAATATTTCTTTGGTTTCCTTGAATGATTAATTTTGCATTTTCGCATCTGCACCCATAGCATTTCATGTGCATTTCCTGTGCTCTGTCTCATCTTGCTGTCTTATCTCTAGAATCATATTGAATCCTCGCCATCAATACAACACACGAGCCCAAGCTCGCCAAAGAATGGAAGAACACAATGCAGCTCTGGATAGGGTTGAAAACGAACTTGAAGACTTACGAGGAAGCGTAGGACGAATCATGGAAGTCTTACAAGTCATCAATGCAAAAATGGACACTCAACCCACTGTAGTTTCTGAGATCACTAATGTAGTTGTAGAGCCGATCCCAACGGCAGTCACTGTTGCAAGTATTCCACCATATGGGTTCATACCAGGTTTTGTACCTCTGCCACCAGTCAGTCAACAATCAGTTCCTCTAGGGACAGAGATCCCTCGAGCTGTTCCGAC